TTTTTTTTTTAATTCTGGGATTTATTTACCTTCTATAATCGAAACTTTGTTGCCTTCAGTGGAGCTCAGAGCCAGCCGGGAAGCTTGGCTTCCTCCATCACTGGAGAAACCAAGCCTCCTGCTCGCTTCAGCTCCGTGGCTGCCGGCTGCCATCTTGGTTGGGTTAATTTCCATATAGTCGCTCTGATTGGCTGGTGGGCATGGCTTAAGGCAGCCGTGGGCAAACTATGGCCCGTGGGCCGGATCCGGCCCGTTTGAAATGAATAAAACTAAAATAAAAAGACCGTACCCTTTTATGTAATGATGTTTACTTTGAATTTATATTAGTTCACACAGACACTCCATCCATGCTTTTGTTCCGACCCTCCGGTCCAGTTTAAGAACCCATTGTGGCCCTCGAGTGAAAAAGTTTGCCCACCCCTGGCTTAAGGCATAGCAAAGGTATGGTCAATTTGCATGTTTGTCTTTTATTAGATTAGATTGCCTGATACATCTCTTTAATACAGTGGTTCCCAACATGGGGCACACACCCCACAGGGGGGCAATTTGATTTTTAAGGGGGGCAATTCAAGAATGAGTTATTAACAGTGATTTTTTTGCATTTCTCATGGTTCTAAGGGCCTCATATACAGTACATAAGTATATATTGTGACATATTTATGCATTTCATTTCTCTATTATATGTTTTGAAACTTCATTTGCTATTTTTCATATCACTTCATATTATAATTTTTTAACAATTTCTTAGTGATTTCTTCCGTACTTCTTCAAATGTCCTTTTTTTCTTTTATTTTTCTCTTTCATGGATGCCATGTTCTTTAGAAGCTTGTTTAGATCAAGTTAATGGCCTTTTAGGCTTCTTCCATGTGAATAGGAGTCACTTTTTGAATAATAAGAATTATATGTTACAGAGGGGGCATCAGGATTTTAGAGATGCTTGGGTGGGGCATGGCCAAAAAAAGGTTGAGAACCACTGCTTTAATACTTTATTTTAATCAACATGTTGTGGTTGCATACTTTCTAATTACCCCTCTTAATATGAAATATTATTTTCTATAGAGAGAATGTGGAGATAATTCAGTCTTACCAGCAGTATGAAATTTGATTGAAATTTGTTTTCAGTTATTGATAGAAAATTTTCTTTCAGTTTTTTATCTTTCTATTAATAATGTCTGATAAATTTGGGGGATTTTTTAAATCAAATTTGGGACAACCTATTATAATAAGTTATATCATTTTATGACATTTCAAGTTTTGGGGGGACATTGACAAATCCGAAATACTCTAAATGAATGAGCCTCACTAAATGGCTTGTCATCAGTGTCCTCATTTAGTGACATACTATGGTTTTGCATTATCTTCACTGATGTCAGTATTTCAAATCAGTAAGAATTTAAATCATTTTTAGTATGATTATTACGATTAACTCCTTTTCATAATCAGATTTTTTAAAGTAACTCAACTGCCTGTTCATTATTTTTATTTCTTTTTGAGGGATTGCTGCTTTTGGTACAATCTGGAAAAAATTTATAACATTTGCTTCTCAATGTCAAAATACTTTCAATTGGTTATATGACTGTTCCTTGTTACGTTTGCTTCAGATTCCATTAATTTTTTCTGAATTTTCTTTTAGCTGTTTAATAAATGTAAAAATGACAACAGAATGTACCCTTTTTATATATCTAAATCAGGTATCATAATTTTCTCCAGTTTTATTGAATTGTCTTTTCAAATTTCAGTTAAAAATGGTGCATTAAAACTTTGTGAGAGAAAAAAATATATAGTGAGATTATATTTAATACATTTCCTACAGGAGAGCACTTTGAATTTTGACTAGGCATCAGTGATAAGAATCCTCTGCTTATAATTTTAATTGGTGACTGGAAAATTTCCCCACAGACTAGCTTTTATTTCAAAACGTTCACCTTTACTACCCATGTTCTTCAGTGTCAGGCATCATAGGGCACATCTCTATGGTGAGAGGACGTTGCTTAGGTTCTTAGGTTCAGGGTAGACCTCTCTCTGGCCATATTTCACTGGGAACAAATCATTTGCAGGGGTGGGGAACAGCCTGTGAAATAATTTGGTCTGGCCCTGCCAAGCCATTAGGAGTGAGTTAATTAACTGTTTGACCAAATGTGGCAGACTAGTTTTTAAAAATTTTTTTTATTGATTTAAGAGAGGAAGGGAGAGGGAGAGAAATATAGAAACATCAGTGATGAGAGAGAATCATCTATCAGCTGCCTGCTGAACGCCCTCTACTGGGATCGAGCCAGCAACTTGGGCATGTACTCCAATAGGGAATCGAACTGTGACCTCCTGGTGCATAGGTGGACACTCAACCACTGAACCACACCAACCGGGCCAGCTTCATATATATTTATCTGTTTCCTTCTTTTTCCATTTCTGTTTCTTTATATTAATTTCATTTTCTACTCTTGAAAATTGCCTTTTTTCCCCTTAAAAATTAGTTGCAAGCAGTGTGGGGTTCTATGGTAAGAGGCAGAATTTCTTTTGCAGCTTCTATTTGGAAACATCCTTGGAAATGACTCTGGTCAATCTTGGGTGATGTGCCTACTTGTTTTTTTGTTTTGTTTTGTTTTTACCAATTACAATTGACATTCAATATTATTTTATGTTAGTTTCAGGTATACAGCATAGTGGTTAGAAATTTATGTAATTTACAGTGATTCCCCCTAATAGTACTCACCTGGTACCATACATAGTTATTACATTATTATTGACTATATTCCCTATGTTGTATTTTACATCCCTGTGACAATTTGTGCTTCTTAATCGCTTCACTTTTTCATCCAGGCCCCCAACTCCCTCCCATCTGAAAACCATCAGTTTGTTCTCTGTATCTATGAGTCTATTTCTTTTTGGTTTGTTAATTTATTTTGTCCTTTAGAATACACATATAAGTGAAATCATATGGTATTTTTCTTTCTTTGGCTGACTTAACTTAGTTTGATACCCTGGATTTGTTGTTTCACTCATTCATGTATGCATTGGTTCATTCTTTATGTGCCCTTACCCAGGATCTAACCTGCAGCCTTGGCCTATTTAAGGACAACGCTCTAACCAACTGAGCTACCCAGTCAGGGTATGGCTTCAATTTCATTAATTGTAATCTGTCTATTCAGATTTTCTGATTTTTCCTGATTCAGTTTTAGAAGATTTGATGGTTCTAAGAATTAATCCATTTCATACAGATTTTCTAATTTGTTGGCATGTAGTTGTTGGTAATACTTTCTTACAATCCTTTGTATTTCTGTATGTCAGTTTTATTTCTCTTTCATTTCTGAGTTTATTCATTAGGGTCCTCTCTTTTTCTTGATGAGTCTGGTTAAAGGTTTGTCGATTTTGTTTATCTTTTCAAAGAATTAGCTCTTGGTTTCATTGATCTTTTGTATTGATTTTTAGACTCTATTTTGTTTATTTCTGCTCTGATTTTTATTATTTCCTCCCTTCTACAAACTTCGGGCTTTGTTCTTTTTCTAGTTCCTTTAGGTATAAGATTAGATTTAATATTTGAGATTTTTCTTGTTTCTTGAGTGAGGTAGGCCATAATTGCTATGGATTTCACTCTTAGTATTCCTCTTGCTGTGTTACATAGATTTTGGGTTGTTGTGTTTTCATTTTTGTTTGTCTCAAATCTTTTGATTTCTTCCTTCATCTCATTGTTAACCCATTCATTGTTTAGTAGCATTTTATGTAGCTTCCATGCGCTTTGGTGTTTTTCAGTTTTGGGTTTTTTTTTGGTAATTAATTTCTAGTTTGATACTGTTGTACTTGGAAAAGATGCTTCTTAAATTTATTGAGACTTGTTTTGTGTCCTATCATGTGTGAGCCTAACATGTGGTCTGTCCTGGAAAATGTTTCATACGCACTTGGAAAGACTGGGGGTGAAATGCTCTAAAAATATCAATTAAATCCATCTGGTCTACTGTGTTATTTAAGGCTGCTGTTCCCTTGTTATTTTCTGTCTAGAAGACCTATCCATTGATGTCAATGGGGAGTTAAAGTGCTTTACTATGACTGTTATATCAGATATACATACATATAAAGACAATAGATGTAGCCATGCCTAAAGTCAGTTCAATCCCACAAATATAATTCCTGTAAATAAAAATAAATTCCCTGCTTTGTTTGTTATTTAGGTTTTCCAAGTCATCCTTCTATTGAGCTACCTGGTGTCTAGTGATCCCCAAATGCCAGTTCTCAGAGTGACAACAGCAGAATCACTTGGGGGACTGTGGTGAAATTATTTCCAAACCAAGTTGCACCCACGAGGATTCAGAATCAGTAGACCTGGTGGGAGGATCTGGGAATCTTCAGGTTTGTAGACCTTCCCAGGTGATTTCCATATAGAGTGGTGACTAAATATGTTCTGGTCTATGCGGTGATCATTGGTATAGGGTAGAAACCTTATCTAATAGTTCAGCATACACTCTGACCCTTACTTCTTCTCACTCTAAATAAAGTGCCAAAGATTTAATTAAAAATAAATAGATTATGGGTACTGAATGTACCATTCTTCTGGAGATCAAAAGAACTTTAAAAACCATCTCAGAAGCAGGTAGGGGTTAATGTTGGTTGGTGTGAGCCCTCATAAATATTATCTGTGGATTGGTGTTATGAATTGAATGTGTCCCCTTATAATTCATAAGTTGAAGCTGTAACCCCAATGTGATGTTATTAGGAGATGTGGCGTTTGGTGGGTAATTAAGTTGAGATGAAATAATGAGACCTTGTTAAGGGATAGGTGCCCTTAAAAGAAGAGACTAGACCAGAGCTCTTCCTTTGTCTGCCATGTAAAGATACATCAAGAAGGCCACCATCTGCAAGCTAGGAAGAGCTATGCTCACCAGACACTAAATCTACAGGCGCCTTGATCTCAGAATTGCCAGCCTCCAAAACTGTGAGGAATAAACGTTTGTCTAAGCCACGCCAGTCTGTTTTGTTATAGCAGCCTGAGCAGACAGAGACGTTGGGAAGCATTTCATAAACATTCATTAACTATGAAGTAGATAAATCTTGTTGTGCTTTTAAAGAGCTTGAAAGAGAGTAGTAAAATGCCTACAAAATTCCCTCTTATTATGCCATATAATAGCAAAGGAACTGTGGATTCTGGCTCTGTCCATGGAACTAGGCTGTCTCCACCATTCCTGACACTCCTCCTTGTACATTTGGAATCAATCATCATAGGCATGCATAGCTGCAAGCATTTGGTTTCAGAAAAGAGGTTAAGAGAAACTAAGTGGTAAAAGGAATATGCTGGATCAAATAAAAAAGCCGCACTGATGAAACTGGAGGAGGAAATGGAACCAGACCTCCAACCATCACATTTCATCTTAGTACATTAAATGCCTTCTTACCAAAGCTAAGCAAAGCCAGGAAATATTGAAAGTTTGACTTCTGAAGCCGCGCAGCTTGGATTTTTCTTCAAGTGCCATGTCCCAACAAATGATGAAGCTTAATATTGTAATGTATTTTCCTTTTATTAGTAATCTAAAAATCTGTGCTTCGTTTCATGCTAGTGAAATTTGTGAGTTGGAGCAGTCATTTATTATGTTTCCCCCTTGAGTTTTTATTTTTGATCAAGGTTATATATGTGTACATATTGAAATAAATTTAATAGTTGTATATTTTTCCTTTCCCATGAGGTGGCAATTTTCAGCTCTTTCTTACTTTTTCCTCATATGTAATAAATGTAGAAAGAATGATAGAACTGGAAAATGTCTATTATACTTTTGTCTAAAGCTATTTTTCAAAGTGTGTTCTCAGATTATTCTTATCAGATTTAGCTGGGATGATTGTTAAAAATGAGACCTGAGTTCCCTTCCAGACCTGATAGACTTGCTGGGGGGGAGGGACTTAGACATCTATATTTTAAACAGCTTCTAAGTGATCCTTATGCAAATTATATTATGAAAGTCACTTTCCTAAAGCTTCTTGATTTTTGCCAGGGTATGTAATGTTTTCTAGTTGTATTTCTGTCTTTCTATTTATTGTCATGTGATTAGGGTTTGACCTAACAAAGGTTACAGCTTTCATGAATGATATTAACACAAACAAGACGAAACAGTAAGTTCACTCCTAGAGAAATGGGAAATGGCTCTAGAGCAGCGGTTCTCAACCTGTGGGTCGCGACCCCTTTGGGGGTCGAACGACCCTTTCACAGGGGTCGCCTAAGACCATCGGAAAACACATATATAATTACATATTGTTTTTGTGATTAATCACTATACTTTAATTATGTTCAATTTGTAACAATGAAAATATATCCTGCATATCAGATATTTACATTACAATTCATAACAGTAGCAACATTACAGTTATGAAGTAGCAATGAAAATAATTTTATGGTTGGGGGTCACCACAACATGAGGAACTGTATTAAAGGGTCGTGGCATTAGGAAGGTTGAGAACCCCTGCTCTAGAGACTGAAATCTAGGTCCTAGATGTATTTATTACTATTGGGGTATTGTTTCTAGGCTCTTTTAGGGGACAGATTTAAAAATTGTGAATTATTTTAAAATGAGAATTATCAATAGGTACATTACAATATATTAAATTATAATATGCATTTTTTCTTTTAATGACATTCATAGTTCTTGACAGTAACATAATTACTTCCTGCTAACCATAAAAATGCTGAGTGGTAGTTGAAGACTACTTTGTATCTTCATTGGGTCTTAGAATATTTCCCATTTAGGAAATACAGTCAAGGTACTATTCTCAGAATTCACTCTAAATATTTATTTTCTCTGTTTAGTTATACTACCAACTGGGTTGTTTGTTTCCCAACAGCCGGCATTTTTAAAAAATTAATTTATTCTATGAAATATGTAAGGTATATCATGTTAAAAACTATATAAGGGGGGAGGATGGGGGTTAATGGGGGGGATAAGGACACATTTGTAATACCTTAACTAATAAAGAATTTAAAAAAAAAGAACGTAAAAAAAGAAACAAACAAAAAAAACTATATAAAATATATAAAGTATATACTTAGAGAAGTGTCACTTACATCTGTTTCCTCCACCCAGTTTCCAGCTCCTCCCTTCTTAGAAGTAACCATTTTTATTAATTTCTGACTTTCTTGTCATTGTTTCTTTTCTTTCTTTCTTTCTTTCTTTTTTTTTTTTTTTTTTTTTGCAAATGAAAGCATGCAGGTTTGCTTCTATTTTTTTTTCCACAAAAAATACAAAATATATTAGCTTTGTGTTTCCCCCACATCTTTTCCCTTCATATGTATCTGGAGATCAAGGAGAGACCTTGTAAACTGCCACTTTCTGCTCATTCCCCAAAGACTCTGAGATGGTCCCATTGAGGTAGTAGTTTATTTTGTTCTTAGGTTCTCTCTTGATTCAGATCCCCAAACTTGACCCTTTATTTAATAAAGACCTGTTGACCAGGGTCGGTATTTATTATCCCATGTTAATGAAAATGACTTGAGAAATAACACATGTTTATTTGTGTGCCAATTCATATGTAGATTACCTATGTCAGGTGGCCATGAAAGAACTGGTTATGCCTCCCTTTCATCCTCTGAAAATAAAAGATCCACACTGTAGCACCCAGAAACCACCATTTTTCCTGTTGTTTCAGTTTGTCCTGGATGTCACAGTCTCTTTTTCTACGGTTGTTCTTCCTTAAAACATTGCTGAGAACCATTACGGGGCAGTGTCGTTAATAAAACTCTTCTGTGAGGGACCTTTTATTTTGTAATAGGTACATTACATTATATTAAGTAATCTAGATTTTTTCCCCATCACTAGTCTATTCTACCCAATTAGCATGTTCACACTAAGTAGAGCAGAAAAACACCAGTATTGCATAAAAAATAGAGAATTCAAATCTAATAAAATAAATTATATAATTGGGTAGAAATAGAAAGCATTGCTTTTTTCCATATTTGCAGCATGCATTGACAATAAGGCACATTGTAAAGGAAGAAAGTACTCTTTCCAAAGAAAGATTTTTTTTCCAATTGAATTCACTCTTTAAGATTCCCAATGGCATGTTCACTTCCTGTTTTCCTGTTGCAGGCACACAAACTTGGAACATGAAAACCCCTGAAGGTCAAATACTATTTAAATGGTTTCTTAGTCGTGGACAATGGCTTCTTAGCAACAAATATCTCTGATTCTTACATAGTAATCTTAGAAAGCAAATTGCATAATTACTTTGCAAGAAATGATTGGTTATAATAATGTTTACATAAAGTTATGGATAAAAGCAGTATCGGCACATTCCTTTTGATAGATAGCTTATGAGCACTTTAGCTTGTTGCTACTAAAAGATTGTGCTTAGTTGTAATATCAAAATATATATAATGATATGCTATTGTATTATATCATGCCTAATGATTTTCTTTTCTGAAATCAATACAAAATGTGTAAACTACTAAACTATAAAAACCAATTAGCTTCATTAACATTCCATATTTATATGGTAAAAAATTCAAGCAATGTATCATTGAGTTAGGGACAAGATACATTAGCCCTTTTTTAAAATTTTAGCATACTGGTTTTGAAATTCTTAAGACAGAATTTACTTTTAAATATATTTTGTTCTTAAAAAAGATTAAACCTTAAGCCATAAAAACTTTAGTATTGTGCCATCCTCCATATTACTGATGAAAACGGACTAAGTGTTAAGTTCCTGAGCATTTATAAGAGTTCACGAAGAAAAGTGAAAGCCATTTCTTACGTGGATAGTAAATTTTTTCTGGGGAATACTAATGATTAATCAGAAAGGGCTTTTCTGTCACCCCCACGACTTACTGCATTCTCATGCTTATTGGTGTGGTGTTAATGAGCAGGCATCAAGTATTACCCATGGTGTGCGCTCTAATTATCAATGTGAAAAGTTGGGACTGGCTGGCTAAAGCCTGACACAGTAGGTTTTTAAATGGCTCTGCTCTGCCCATGGTGTGCTAGGAAGAGGGAGGCTGGTGCTATAACCACATGTAACATTTCGTAGGAGGCTGCTAT